TAAGAATATCCTGTCATATTTTCTAACATACTTTTTTAGGATGTTTATCTTATATTTCACCATTTTATTGAATTTTCATAGGATGTTCATCTATTTCTTTGTTAATGCAATTAGTCAGTATTTACTGAGCACTTACCATATGCTGGGCATATTTCTACACATAGAAGACATAGTAGAGAGTAACAAATGTCTACTTAGGTAATACACTTTGCTTTCAACCCTCTTCACCTCTTCTCTACTTTACCCCACTCATTACACTGGCAGTCTTATTTAGTCTCATGGTTATAAGTACATTTATGTGCTAGTGACCATCAAATTTACATTTCCAGTCCAGTTTTCTCCCCTGAACTTTACAGTCAAATAACCAACTGCCTAACTGGGCATCTCCACTTGGGTTTCTAATGAGTATCTCAAATACAACCTGTTAAAAATGAGTGTTTTCTCCAAAACTGTTGCTCATAGCCCTCCCCATCTCGGTAGACAGCAATTCTATATGTCCAATTGCTTAGGCCATAAACCTTGGGGCCATTCTAGATTCCTGTCTGTCTTAAATCTTACACAAAGAAATCCTGTTTGGCTCTACCTCCACCTTCCAATTATATCTAGAATCTAACCATTTCTACCACTAATATTCTAGTCCAAGCCTCCAATATTTTAGGCCTGCATTACTGCAATATCGTCCTAAAATCATTATTCACATAGGTATTCCTTCTTGAATTCTCAGTCTTGATCTCTTCTCGAATGATCTTATCTCCACCCTCTACTTCTGCCACTTATCTCACCATCATTCTCTATACTGTCAATACCAAAATATGCAAACCTTTTAAAATCTTAATGTTGTGCACTCCACTTTTTTTTTTTTTAACAGTTATTTATTGGGACCAGCAGATGGCATAATTACATCACTGGACTCTTATTCAACCACAGTTTGAGTCTTGGCCCCGGTGGCTTGAAACATATGCCAGGTACGCTTGCATATGTGCCCAAAATCCTGAGAGAAGGAACTGTACCATGGCTATCCCTCCTGTGGGGTGATTTCTTGCTTTCTGGCAAGTGCATGTGCCCTATACCAAAATCTCTTTCAAAAAATTACATAATTGTATTTCTTATTATTTTATTATTACTTCTTAAAATTTGCTACAGGACACATACACTCGTGAGAGACAGAGAGAGAGAGAGAAAGAGAAGGCAACCCACCAAGTCCGGGACTCGAACTATGGTTGCCATCTGCTAGCTCCATCCCATCCACTTTTAATAACCACTGTTATCTGCTCATTATATTCTCTATTATTCCCATTCTAACATCTCTCAAATTCCATAAAGGCCTATAATCCTTTAATCCCACATTTTTCCACTGCTACTCACTTTTCTATTATATTCTTTCCTTCTTATGGAGCTTATATTCCATGATCAATAATTTCTTTATCTACGTACCCTTAACTTTCTTGCTTCTTTCTCCACTGTATTTATTTTGCAAACTCCCAGACCTAATTAAATCACCTTCCCACCTAATCTGGGCTTATACTCACACAGCTGATGGGACTGGAGAAAAATGTACAATCAAACTGACTGCACATTCAATTGATAATTACGAACCTCAACTAAAACATTTAACACAGCCTAAAGTTCTAGTCTATTTTCTTAGGCTTCTTGACTCTCGTTCCCATTCATTTCTTATCTTTTCCTTTCTTCTCAAATCTCCAACTACCTTTCCCTGACTCTTATATGATGACATTCCTTCATATTTCAATAAGAGAAGAAATTCAGAGACCTTCCACGAGTTCCTACATTTACCTATCCACATCTGTGCCCATATACTCAGTCTTTTCTTCTGTTAATGTGGATGAGCTCTGTGCATTTCTATCTTAGACAACACTGTGTACACTACATTCCATCTGCTTCCATGCAGTCAGGAATATTATTAAAGCAATTCTCTCTTCTGTATTCTGTATCAAATTTTCTTGTTTTACTGGATCATTCTATTTGTAGACGTATTTATTTTATCTTTAAAAAAATAGAAGATAAAAACCCTTTTATTGATTTAATTTCCCCCTTCTAGACTCTATGCTATATTTGTTCCTTTACATCCAAACTGAATTTTCTTATATTCACTGTCTCTTATCTGACTCCTGCTCTTCTCTCTTAAACCTCTTCCAGTTAGGACCAGCAAATGGCATCATGGCTATATTGCTGGATTCCCATGTAGTCGACTGCGGTTCAAGTCCCAGACCCGGTGGCTTAAACTCACGCTGGGTGCATGCGTGTGCATGCCCAAGATCCCTAGAGGAGAATGGAGGAGAAGGGACTATGGTGTGGCCATGCCCCCTGGAGGGTGATTTCTCTCTGTCTCTCTCTGTCTGTCTGGCGAGCACACGCACCTTATAGCAAAAACCTCTCAAAAAAAATTAAACATTTTCCAGTAAGGCTAGGTAAATAAATAATCTTTAGAGGAATAAATGCTTTATTGCCACTTTATTGCCATCCTTATTTTAAACTTTGCAAGAGGAGGCCCAAAAGGTAGATATCAGCTCAAAGACCCACTGCGTATCAGTGGTAGAATAGGGACTAGGAGTAGTAAAATATACTGGCTACTATGAAACGACTCGGAGTTAGAATGATAAATGAGATGTGGTTCCTCTTCTCCTAGCTTAGGCCTTACAGAGTTACATCATATTTGGGATGGAAAAAACAAATCCTACAACCATGGGCAATGTCAGGTGCTTGTGTCCATGAAGGCTTAGCTGCCAGGTCAACAAAGTTGCTTCCCACCATCACCTTTTCTGGCTCCTGTATTCAAAGTGTTCAGGAAAAGCATTTGTTTTAAACTGTACCTCAGGCTTCAGAATAAGATTCTTCAGGTGCATGTCACTCATCACTGATCCACAAATTATGAACCGGTTAGAGTACTGGAAGATGTGAGTAGGAAGACACAGTTATAACATTAAGATCCATTTTCAGTAGAAGATTCACAAGAATTGGAGAAAAATGCATTTCAGAAATGAAATTGCTAGGCCGATAGGACTTGAGTTACACAACTTTTAAGGAACCTACTGCATTAATAAAGATCTACACATGCCAGTTAGAAGGCTGTGTATTTTTTTTTAAAGGATTCTTGCTATAAGGTTGGTACACTTGCTGGAGAGACAGACAAAACAAGAAATCACTTCCTGGGGGAATGGTCACACTATCATCCCTTCTCCTCCATTCTCCTCTCTGGATTTTGGGCACACAAGCACAGGCATGCGGCATGAGTTTAAAGCCTCTGAACCACGGTCAGCCATGTGCGAGTCCAGCAATGTAATCTCACACCATCTACTAGTCCCAGAAGGCTGTGTATTTTGGGAACAGCAAACCAACAGGCAGAGTGTGTGAAACACACAGTCACAGTTACTACTTTGTAAGTGACGTTACTACTAGGTGATCAGGATTTATTATGCAAAATGGGGCACCCTGGGAATAAAAAGAGGCACTGTTAAAAATTATGCTGGGGCCAGCAAATGCAGTAGCGGTTACATCATTGTACTCCCACATGGCCGACTATGATTCGAGTCCAGGTGGCTTCAAAATCACACATGGCACGTGTGCATGTGTACCCAAGATCCCAGGAGAAGGAAGGAGGGATTGCTTGTGGCCATTCCCCTTGGGGGGGGGGATTTCTCACTTTCCCTCTCCCATGAGCGCAAGCATCCTAAGGCAAAAGCCTCTTTAAGAGAAAGTATGCCAAGACAGTGGGTGTTTGCTATTGCCCACTGCTCCTCCTCTTCAGTAACCATCCTCTGTGTGTTACACATGGAGCAGTCCAGGTACTCATGCAGTCATGCAAATAACTTCCACTGGCCATCAACCAATTCAGCGACTGTCAGAATGGACAGGATACCCATTCAATATGGGCTCTATTAAAATCATTTTGACCCTTAATGGCCATGCTAATACTTACCATCACCAGTGAATAAAAATAGAATGAGTCACTTCCTTTACTGACTTGTTTTCTTGTTCCTTAAAACCTGATCTATATGCAATCTTTAGAAAGTTATCTCTATCCCCACTTGAAGTTTAATCCTTATGTTAGCATATACCCTCCTGTGGTAAGACAAAAGAAGCCATTTTAAAAACTGCCAGCGGCTTCCCTCTTCCCCAAAGGCACAGTTGCAGGAACCACAACCTCTTTAATCAAGATTGACTTTGAGGCCATTCACTGAATCAACATAGCAAAAACAAGTCACTAGCCACAAAACTTTATTGTAGAGATCAACATATATATCCTCCTGAAGAAATGTTTTGAGCCATTCACCTGATGGTTATAAACACATTAGAATCTGTTTTACTGGTATATGTTTGGTTTGGTTGGCAAGAGAAAATTCATTATTGCAAAATCATGAATCATGTCCAAAAGTCCTGATGAAAAAAATGTATAAAATGAGAGGATTAAACACTGCCACCTTACTGTGTCAACAATCATTGTACACTTCAGATCTAGAAGACAATCCCCTACAAATCCAAAAAGGCAGATGTTGACAAATAGAAGTGAAACAACCTGTTATATAAAAATGCAAAAGAAGGCCCAGCCTGGTGGTACAGTCAGTAGCAAACTGAACTGTAGTGCTAAAAGCAGCAAGGCTGACCATAGGTGGTTCGGGTCCCCAGGTTGGCCTGAAAACATCAGGCAGTACACACATGTCCAGAATCCTGATGAACTAAGGGTTAGGAAGAGAGATTATGGCACGACAAGATCCTGTAGGGGTGCTCCTTCTTTTTAACTTCATGTGTGTGGACATATTCCCTACACTAAATTAAATAAAAACTTTTTTTTTTTTTTGTCAGAGGGTATGTGAGCTCACCAGAGACCGGAGAGAGACAGAGAGAAAAACAGACCCCTAATGGAGTGTGGTCATGCCGCAAAGCCTTCTCTTCAATTCTCCATCCTGCTGGGATTTGGGACATACATGCACACATGTCCAGTGTGTTTTTCAAGCTGTCAGGGCTGAGACTTGCATTATGGTCAGCCATATGGGATTCAGCTCTATTAATCACTAGGCTATAAGGCCAGTCCTAAAGTAAAAACTTAAAAACTGTAAAAGGAGTAAAAAATAAAATTTTGGTCAGAAAACATTATTATATAAAGCTATATAAGGATGTATATTGGTCATTTTCTTTGAGGGGGAAGAAATCAAATTGTTAGTTTTCTATTCAGAGGGAATAGTAAGGTTAAGTGTCTGGAAAACGCTTCTGATATTTAGTGATTTCTTTCTTATCTCTCTAAACATAAACATGTGATTTATCCTTGTCAATCTGCAGAAATGAGGAAATAAATCAGCACTGGCCATCAATAGGACACTCACAACACTCGAATGAGGTCCAGGGTGATCCTAGATCGGGGGATGTCAATGTTGAGTACTTGAACTTCCACCCTTTCTCCAGGGCCCAGTCCAAGACTTCTTCTTTTCTTTGTTTTAGAAAGTTTTGCTTCTGTTACATTTCGTATGGGAATCAACCCTGATCTCCCCACTCCTATATCCACAAAAATTCCAAACAGAGTGGCATTCTCAACTTTGCCTGTAAGAACTGTCCCAACTTGTAGGTCTTCTAGGCAGACTATGCTTCTCTTGAAATCAGGTTTATCAAAATCTAAAAGAAGGAGAGGGGAAAAAAAGTTAGTGTTACTAATAAGATGTTACACTTCCTAGACAAAACATAACTTGGTGAGTAAGAATTTACTATGTATCTACTCTGTGCTCAAATCCTTATTGAACACTGAAAAGGGAGATAAAAGATCAAGAGAGAGGCCTGCCTTCTCTAGTTGGAGAAATAGATTCACACAGTAGAAACAATTTAAGAAAACTTACTCATTTTTTCTTCCCTAATCTTATCTTACAACATGTGAGCATTAGCACTAGAATAGACAATAAAAACCCGAAAGAGTAGAGTCTCATATTCTTCTTTATGAGATGAGAATATATCTTTGCTCCATACACATACATGACTAAGTCACTGAGAAAGTAAGACACTTGGAGACAGGAGACTAGAAGCTTTTCTCCCCCTACCCTCATTGCCTGAATTCTTAAATTGTTTAAAGGTGCCAGAAAGTACATCAACATCTGGTCAAATGTGGATGTATTCTTTTCCCTTACCTCTCCCACAAATTTGGAACCCAGGAATCAATTCCTACCCATTTCAAATATATTCATCCATTCAAAATTTACAGATTCGTTATTATCTATGGCTCAGAAACCCAGACAAGCTAGTTCTTCATTTTTATTTTTCAATTTAATTCATCAAGCACTTATTAACTACTATTATTATCCCCCAGCCAGGCACTCTGCTGGGTGCTAGAGATGCAAAGACAAAGACTCTTAGATCTCTGTTCTCAAGCTCCTTACGGCCCTCTTTTCTTGCTCATCCCACTATGTGTTTCTCTGTTCATTAACACTCTCCCATAAAAGGTGGGCACAAGACATGCCAAGGAATCACTATGGCTCTGGTTAAAACAACAAAGGTGTTATGAGGGAGACAGTTAGAACTAACAGTTTAAATGAAGCTTGTGGACTGTCTGTGGACTCCATTTATCCAGGCTCTTCTTGGCCCCTTTCCTAGGATGACTGAGCATTGACTCTAATAACAAAGAACACATTCTATGCTTGGATCTCCTTTTACTAAGACCTCATTTTCCCCTCCACCCATTCCATTTCCTTTTCCTCCACAGCTGTTGGCTTTATCCTGATTACTTGTTAAAGCTCTCCTTTACATTTGTATTAACAACTGGTCACCTCTTCCCTCCTCCCAGTCAAACTATACTGAAGCTAAGTTTTTTTTTTTTTTAAATTAAGCTTTTTTCCTGTAAAAGAAAACAAAAACCTGTTTTGCACCCCAATCTCATTTTTCTCATAGAAAAAAGAACATGTTAAAAGTGGAATTGATTTTGTAGTTTCACCTGATGCTGAAGTACTGCATTCCAAAAGCAAGAAACCTACTATAATGTAACCTTATCCTAGTCAAAGACCCAGTCAAAGCAATGTGAAACTAAGTTGCAGTCCTGGCCAGAGGTAGGATGGTCTCTGAGGCCCCACAGGCATTTTATTTTTATGCTTGGAAACTCCCCCTCTTTTCTTACAGAGGTCCAGCTGCCTGCAGATTCCCCAAGGGTTCCTGATCAGCTGCTTAGTTTAATTTTGCATGGAAAATCAGAGTCAGGAACTACTTAACATGTTCCTGAAGACAGTCTGGGCCACTGAGAAATCAGAAAATCCTCCATGTACCATGCAAACTTTAACACTTTGATAGCCAAGATGCATATTCAGTCCACTGTAATCTGGCTTCCGATGAACCCCTTTATGGAAGCTAGCAACCAGAAGGTTAGCAGAGAATGAAATGATTATGTCACTGAGAAAACAGAAGACAGGATGAGTATGAGGAAGAGAATGAGGCATTAAGGAAAAATACTTCTGAGAAAATGGAGATATGTAACATAAATACTGTAGTGAAGAAATGCCCCCAATACTATCTGTGCCCTCAAAAATATGATTCATCTGCCTCCTCGGATATCTCGAAAACTAACTTACATCAGGGCAAAGAACAGTTCCAAAGTCTGCTTAAGGAGTACTATTTGACTTTTCACTGGTCACACTGACGAGCACTGCAGTAACTATAATAGAAAGCTCAGTCAGTCTAGGGCCCGGAGGCATCTGTGTTTTTTTGCTCAACTTAGGGTATCCCAAATAAGGACTTCTACACTTTACTGGACTATATAATTTGAGGGCTCACCTCTGCTCTAAATCTATGGTGTAACTGAAGTAATGGAGTGGTCAGCACTATGACAAAAAGCAAAGATGGACAGGAATATCCAGTAAAGGGCACCTGTGGCTACAGAGTTATCTGCCAACTCTAACGTAGTGGGTACAGGCATAATCCTCAAATCCCACCCTTTTTGAGAACCACTGCTCTACTTTGTATTTCTGCTAGACAACACACAGGGAATTCACAGAAACGGAAATCAGACCTCTAAGAGGCATGGATTTATCTGCTAAAAACAGCCATTTTGTGTAGAGGACCACCTGGAGACTTCTATCCCCACATTTTTGGCACAGATCTTGCTGGGTGTTTAATGTTATTTTTCTCCATTTATTTATTTAGTTACTTATTTATACAAGCTATGGAAGAGTTGAGGGGATAGTGCAGAATAGTGAGCCTGCTAAATGTGTTTTTAAGTTCGCATAAGCCTTTTCAAAGAGCATGCCTAACCACCTCAATACAGCCTACCCCAGAGTGAAAAGAGCCAAGCCCTAAATATGGCACCATCTAAACTGGTTATGAGACAAGTGTGTAGATTCATTTAAATCTCAGGGGCTCCTATTCAAATTTCCTTGGTAGGTCATTTGATACATTAATTCTTTTTCACTAGGTCACTGCTCTCAACATCTACGGCTGTTACACTTTCCTTGCCATCTATCTATGCTGAAAGCTGAGAGCACTTTTAATTAGGAGAAAAATCAACAGAGAAATATTATCTTATTTGTTCAATGTGTTCATTGACACAGAAACCAGGAACTTGGAATGCTGTGACTTAGAAGATTCACTTTTCAACTGGTAAATTGAAAGTTTTACCTTGGACTTCCAGTTCCTAGAACTTAAAAAACAACTTACCAAAGGATCATGAAAAATGTGTGTCTCCACATACACAGCAGGAACACTACAGTGGATTTAGTTTAGGGTAAAGGCAAATGAACAGTGAACGAGGAGTCTGAAGACCTGTTTCTAGCTTTGGCTTTGGATACTAACTATAATTGCCTTGAAGGAAGGTCACTCTGCTTAAATTACCTCATGGACAAAATGGGAGAATAATATCTGTTTTGCCTATGGCATAGGATCATTGTGAGGAATCAAGGGGGACAAAGTCCGCTATGCAAACACAAGGGGCTGTAATTCAAGTTCAGTTGTTTACCTGTGCGAAAGTCAAAGCTCTCAGGCTGGCTGAGACCATCTATGATGACCTGTAAGGTAGACACTGTTGTTTTCAATCCTTCTGCAATTTTCTCTATTCCTTCCTTGTCAACGAGTGCATTTATTTTTTGTTGCATTTCAGTCTTTCCAATCTCACATGGTGTCCCTCTGATGAATGATAAAAACCTGCAGTAGAAAAAAGTACCCAACATTTACCAATAATGTTACTTATTTTCCAATCTCCTATAAAGTTCGACTTAAAATTCAGTCATCACATGGGAACCAGCAGTTAGCGTAATGGCTATGTCGCTGGACTCCCATGTAGTCGACCGCAGTTCGTGTCCCAGACCCGGTAGGTTAAAACTCACACCGGGTGTGTGTGTGTGTGCCCAAGATCCCGAGAGGAGAATGGAGGAGAAGGGATTGCAGCGTGACCATCCCCTCCTGGGGGGTGATTTTTCGCTTTCTGTCTCTGTCTCTGTCTGGCTGGCAAGTGCACGCGCCCTATAGTGAAAATCTCTCCAAAAAAAAAAAAAAAAAAAA